TACTTTAAGGCATGTAGTACCGCTCTGTATTTTAGTTTGCCCCTTTACCATACAAAAGGGGTGTTCTATAATCCGCCATGGAGGGTTGGTACAATCTTCTAAATTTTATGTAATCTTTTCACGATCCCTATTTTTAACTTTTTTTGTATAATAACTATCGTAAAACATACTAATCATCGAGTTAACAGCGCGGCGTTACCGCGACGCGCACGCTGCTCATGAATAAGAGTCCGGTGTGACTTGAAACTAGTCGAGCGTTTCTCAATTAATTCATGTGATTAAGTCGTTAATTCCAATATGTCGCCAAACCTTTCTTCCCTTGGTTAAGAGTGGACAAGTTTTTCAAATTTTTATTACCAAAAACACTTTTAAAACACATGACATGTAATAAAGATTAAAGATAAAAAGTCTATTTGCTTATTCTAGGCTATTTTAGGCTATTTGCTTAAACGCGTGAAAATATTTCGGCATTAACTTTTATTAATGTACATTACGCACATAAATAGAAAGAACATTATATAAATATTAGTATTTTTGTACTGCATCCACTATTCCTGGCGTGTGGACGTCTGGATTTCAGATTGTGACTAATACCTGGATTTTGTCTAGATTTTTTTTTGGTTTTATTCTGTCTGTGACGTCAGTTAGTATGTAAACTATGCATGTGGATTGTAAACTAGTCATGATTGCGGTTTTTAAAGGCTTGAGATAAACGCTTTGCAGATATTTCGGCGTGTTGATATTGAGGTTTTATTTGTCCCTGTGTCTGCAATACCAGAAGTTGTTAATGAATTCACTCTGCATTGATAATGAAAATTTTCATGAAAGTTGGACAAATGGACGTGTTAATTATTGTTCATTGACTATAAAATCACATATTAAAGTAGTACAAAGCCATAGTATAAAGTACGCTTTCTCTGTCCCTATATCCCTATGTACGCTTAAATCTTTAAAACTACGTCACGGATATTGATGCGTTTTTTTAACAAATAGAGTGATTGAAGAGGAAGGTTTATATGAAAGGTCTGCTCACAGATAACCGGCGTGAAACAACCATAACGTTGTGTTTCGCCGTGTGAGTGAGGTTACCGGGGTCCAATCCTTATTTCCCCCAATTCTTCCACAATCTCAAAATCGTCTCATCCCTAATCCCCAAAAAGTCGGCAACGCACTTGTTACTCCTTCATTGTTGCGGGTGTCGAGGGACGGCGCTGATTGCTTACCATCAGGTGACCCGCTTGCTCGTTTGCCGTTCACATAAAAAATAAGTCAGTTACAAAATGTAGGTATGTAGAAAAATAAAACATATTTTCGTCACAGTTCAGCTGAACTCCTCAATTGGAAATGTTTTCCCCAAGCCTTGGAGTGTTGGCAATCAATATATATATTTTAATAAATACTCGTGTAAATCACGTTTGTAAGCCGGTGCCGGTGTGCGGCGTGCTCAACTGTTGCGGGCGGAGCGGCCATGATATTTTTCAACACGAGACACCTGAGTTTGAGCCGTACCATTTGTTATACTCGATAGTGTAAATTGGTGACATTTTTGCGACTTTATATTGTTTTACGTCACTGAATCTAATCTATAGTGGTTATAGATTATTTATTATTAGCTACTCCCACGCGGTTTCACCCGCTGCTCGGCGCCATTTAATCGTAGCGGGATGTCTTATAGCTTATAGCACTCAGAAACATTGTAGCTATCTATCAGTGAAAAAATTTTGGCAATCCGACCAGCGGTTCCAAAGATTACCCCCTACATACAAACTAATATATATTAATAGATAGATCAAAATTCATGGTCTATATTGTATTGAGAGTGAAGATTTGGCTTTGGGATAACTTACCCCCCCCCCCCCCTTAATAACTCACCCCTTAAAAAGGAATAAACTTTCTTACTAAATGTAACATTAATTTAAATAATAAAAAGGCAATCAATAAATCAAACTTTACAAATTTGACTGCACGGTGGCTAGGCAACTGGCTGCTTTGCAACGTATCGCGGTGTCGATTCCCACACGGAACAACACTGTGTTATCCAGAAATTATTATTTGGGACTGGGTAATTTGTGTAATTTTGTAAAACTATACATATATATTTTTCAACACAACTGTCAATCTTTGCATTTTGTCTCACAACATAACTAATTATAAATCCGAAATGAACTAAAGCAACAAAATGTGACGCAACCCTTTATAAGTATTTAATAATTCCCTCGCTAAAAAGTCACCCTTCTTAAACCGGTGGTAGGGGTGTATAGGGGTGGGGTGTTATACCCTCGGCCCAGCACAGGTGCGGCCGAGCCCAGGTGTCACCAGATCCAATACAATCTTTACTTTCGCACATAATTGGAAAGCCACTGTGTACCTACTGGTGTAGTATGACAGCATGATAGTTAAGTACTCATTTATGTATAAAGTGACTGAACATGTGCTTACGTGACTCAAAGAAGAGGTCTTATGAAAAAGTTTTGTTATCAAAATATTCCTTTTTGTGGCCTGATGAAGTAGGACTTTTTGGTGGCCGTTAGGAATGTATCGTAATATAGAGAAACGCAAATGCTGTCAACACACTTGTAACTTGTAGCAACCAATATAAAAAAAAATACTGCCGAAGCCTAAGATCCACTTCAACAAAAAGAAACGTTCAACTAACTTGCTTTTATAGTAGATACATATATCAGTACCTATATTTCCTATATATATATGTATATGTTAAATGTAAATACAATTAAATTATATGATTTCCACTGCTATCCATTAATTCAAGCTATTTTCCGTATACGTATAAATAACTCTAAATTACAATCATAACAAGATATTCTAACAAAGGTATACAATTTCGAAGCACCTACGAATGTGTATTAATCAGCCGACTTAAAACTATTTAAACAACGTTTAATATAAACAGAGTGGGAAGGAAATCTCGCTCCAATCAATGGACGGCTACTGGCTACTCAGAAAAATCTTCAATGAAAGCATCAATCAGTACCTACACACCCACCGCAGTGACGCATCATCAATTGAAGATTTTGCCCATGGAAGTATGGAATTGGAAAGTTGAAAATTTTGAAATCATTATCGTAATTCGCAATAATGTAGACGAAGGAAGGGAGTAGTAAGTAAGCGTCTGACACTCCCTCTTGGCCAAAATAAAAGTAAAAAAAAATCAAAAATAATTTATTTCAATTAAATTCTAATTGGAATAAATGATTTTTGACATTCAAAAGTGCCTGTCAGGGACCTGTATTAGACCCTTACAGGCACTTTTAAACTAACAAAGTTTTGAAGATATAGTATCTGTCTGTCGGTCAGTCCTCTTAGTGAAGCTATTCGCTCGTTCCAAAGTGTAGATTCCGATAGGGAAGAACGAGCAAGAAACTCCATGGTTACTCTTTTTAAATCAGTTTCACATACAGATTCCTTTTACAAACAGTTGGTTCAATTATGTGAGAACAGTGTTACATTAATATTTATTGTAATAAGTCTCTACATAAGAGAAGAACCTCTTCCATCCCTCCACAAATCTCTGTAACGCACTCGTAATTCCTATGGTGTTGGTGTGTGTTCATAATCGCGCCGATTGCTTATCTTTAGGTAATCTGACTGCTCGTATACGGCCGTTTACAGTAGTTTAAAGTTTTGCTAATGGTGATAAAAGTTTACCGTCACCACTCCCAGCAGCCACGAACCTGGTGACCCATTTTCAATCACAGTAACATTTCAGACATTTAAAACAAACAGCTGTTTTGATTTAAATAAAAAAAATACGTTAGGAAATTATTTTGGCAGTGCTAGTTGAGCGTGCGGCCGCTAGATGGTGCTGCATTATATTTCCAGACGGATGTTGTGGCTCAGCTGACGCGGTTGGCATGGAACATTGTGCAGACCGACAGACGCACGATTTGAGGACCGTGCACACTGGATCACACGTGATATTAATATTGTTCTATAAATATGGTGTAATTTTTGTAGGTACCTACATTTAGATTGGTGAAATTATAATAAACGTCCTATTAAATAAATTGTATATATATAATTAGGGTGCACGCATGTGAGATTCAGAAGTAAAAAATATAACGTTTTTTTATAGCTCAAATAAATAACTAGGTACCATCAACATCCAGTGCTGAACATAGGCCTCTCTTCTTCTTCTATCCTACTTTGCTAAATTACTAGGTATCCTAAATTTAAACAACAGGCTTGCATTGTACTGACAGATAACCTTAAACTTTTTATTCATATTTCATTTACATTTCATTTATTGATTCATAGACAATAACGTAATATAAAGTCGACTTATAATTGTTGCGACCAGTTCTTAGTATTAGTTACGTATTTTGATATACAATTAATAGATACAAAAGCTATTAAATTTTGACCGACTTTTTAAAAAGAAAACAGTTCTAAAATTGGGTTCTGTGACTTTCTTTATTAATCAAAGAAATAAAGGAAAAAAAGTCTGGATGTAATGAGTGTGTGAAATTGTATGCTTGTAAAAACGACACAGCAGAAAATAATAGTGTAGGACATTTCTTTTTTAATTATAACGAGTACTGATAAAGTATTTCGGTCTTTATATGATTTGTTACAATGAACGAACATAAGAAGTCAGGTACAGTGTGTACGGCCCCGAATGTCAAGAAAGCAGGTGTATGCTGGAATCCAGCTGGTCTGCGTCACAGCGACGTGGAGATGTAAACCAGACGCCTGAGAGACACGCACTGTATACAACACTGATCTAGCAATTCTGTACATTCTACACTTAGATTCTAGGTTGCCTAAAATTAACGAATATTATTTTTGATAGGATTTTGCGATTGATGGAAAACGATGACATCCTACTAATGTTATAAATGTGTATTGGATGCCTGTTTGTTATTCTCACACACAAAATGGCTGAAGCGATTTGGTTATTATTTGATATGAACTTACTAGGTAGGTGAAGCCTCGGGGGGAAGTCCAAACTAATCTATATATATATAAATGAATCTTAAAATATGTTGGTAAGCGCAGAAGTCAATAACGCCTGGATGAATTCTACTGATTATTTTTTTGTTATGTGTGTTATTGTCAGGAGAAGATTCTTATAAAAGAAAATTTTAGAAAAGTAGAGGGGAGATTTAGGTAATAGGGACCCGTGCGAAGCAGGGGCGAGCTGCTAGTATTATTGCGAAAAATTTAAATGCGAAAGTCACCCTGTCTTTCTGTCAGTCTGTCTGTCTTTTCTTCACGCCTAAACTACTGAACCTATTTGTGTGAAATTTGGTACACACATAATTTGGAACTTGAGAAAGGACATAGGATAGTTTTTTAACCTAAAATCTGCAGAAATTCACTATTAGACGCGAACAAAGTCGCGGGTAAAATCTAGTTAGTAATATTCTAGAACTGTTTTTGATACTGCTAATAGATTTGTAGCGTTGTCCTCGGCCATGCAACATGTGCTGTGGGTCTATGTGTGAAATGTACGATGTGGATTTTATTTAGCAAATGCATTATGTATTAAAACTGAAGTAGCTACATAATTGGACAGATAATAAATATCTAGTATCTATAAAAATTAAGTGTGACAGAGCTATGATTCGGCACAAATGCGACGGCTTGACTAGAGTAGCACCGCATACCAAGTCACTGAAAACCAGCGTTAAATGACGCTGGCGATGTTTACTGATTTATGAGTTAGAATACCGGAGGCCAAATCCTCATCCTCAAAAGGCCAGCTATGATTTTTCAGGTCCGGGTGATCAATTAATTCGTTTACCGATCGAATCCATAGAAAATGAATTACTGAAATGTTTTTTAATTGGGAAATTGTGGTACCTAATAATCGATTTTTTGAAAAATTCATAAATAATATATGTATCATTATTCAGAGGCAAAACATTTTTATTTCCATTTACCGCTTTTAAAGTACTTTCAGTATTATTTTCTTTAAATGTTTTAATTTATTGTTTCAGATGGAGGCGAAAGTGAAGGAGGAGGTCCCAGACAAGGACTACACACAGCCGACCACTACAGAGAGGAGGAAATGTGAGTTAAAACTCCTCAGTTTATATGTTGCCGCATTGCTTTAAACCTTGATGATAGTTTTGATCGAGTTTTAAAAGCAAAGCTCTTTGTTCCGCTTTTATGATGAGCAAAATAATAAAATATTTGTCAAACAAGCCAACGGATTACCCGATGGTAAGCAGTCAACGCCACCCATGGACATCCGCAACAACGGAGGAGTTACTAGTGCGTTGCCGACCTTTAGGGATTAGGATTTTGAGAATTGGGATTTGTAACAAATAAATAGTGAAGTCAAGTGCGTTGCAGGCCTCTTGTGGGGTTATTAGGGATTTAGATATAGAGGATCTGAGGATTGAGGATGAAGAATAGAGAATCTAGAGAGAGGGATTGGGCCTCCGGCCTCCTAACTCACACTGCGAAATACAGCGTAAGAGTTGTTTCACACCGGTTTTCTGTTAAGCCACTCCGGTCGAGCCGGTTCTAAACTAACACGAAAAATGTAGTTCTATTTAAAAGAAATAGTTCTTATTTTTTTTTATTATACTTCATGCACAATTTAGTTTGTACATAAGGCGGACTTAATGCACTGAGCATTCTCTACGAGTCGACCTTAGGGTGATGCAGAGAATCCAGTAGGTACCTGGTAGATTTTTTTTTTATGTAATAAGTCGGCAAACGAGCAGACGGATTACCTGGTGGTAAGCAATCAACGCCGCCCATGGACACCTGCAACGGAGGAGTTACGAGTGCGTCGGCGACCTTTTAGGGATTAGGGATTTGGAGATTTAGGGATTGGGGAAGGGTCCGGGAAGGGGAAGGATTGGGCCTCCGGTAGATGCAAGAATTAAGCGAAATAGAATACTATGAGTATAACATAGGTTTATATAAACATACATAAAATACATAGAACTATACTTATATAGGTACATATATTTATAAAACTCATTATAAAAGTTAGTATTTTAAAAGGCTTCAAGAATATTTCCAGGACAATAAATAGATAAGTACTATTGATATACTTATGGAACAATAACGCATTATTCTGGCGGGACGCGACCTGTGATGGGAGAGCGCACAACTGTTAGCGATCATAATCTAGCGACGGCACCACGGAGCACGAACCGACCACTGATCTAGAGTTCATGGAAGGGACTATTTAGACCTTACTTAGTGATGAATGAACTTCGGAAGGAGAAAGAATATTACATTATTTTAAGAACGAGGGAGCCATGCGTCGACGCGTAAAGATTGGCTCGACCGGATTGATACCACGAGTTTACAGAATTGTTACAGAAACACGCCATAAAACAACCAAAGCGTTTCGTTTCGCTGAACGTAAACGTAACGTTGCTTAAGGCTCGACTTTCTATACCCTTTTCACCAAATCCATTCTCAAAATCGTCACCCAATCTCCAATATCAAAATCGCAAATCCTTAAATCCTTCAAAGGTCACTAATATCTCGGCTAGACACAGCCGATTGCTATCCATCCGTAATCCGTATTCCCGTTTTCCGCTATCACAAATATATGTATACTTATTAACACATCTTTCTACATTTCGTTTTTTAATACCAACGCCACAGCTAACGCAACAAGCATGTCTCTTACAGTAATATTGAAATTCAAATCTAAAGTTATTCTTTAAATGAACTGGCAGCACTAAAAATAATCCATTACAAACCTATATTGAACACAAACAGATGATTATATATACCTATAACAATTAGTAGTAGAAATGATAACAAGTGCGAGTTACCGTGGGAGCTGGCACCTGCTGATCATAATCTAGCGGCGGCAAGTCCAGGCACGAACACCCACAGGATTTAAGCCACGAGCACCCCAGATACGAAGCACTAATCTATAAAAAAGTTTTATTGTAAAAAAATAGAACTACATTGATGCCAGGCTTTATGTACCTAAATAGTCTGTGTAGCAAACATGTCATTGATAGGTTTTTTTTAACTGATTTTAAGTTTAGTATAAAAAGTATGAAATTAAAAATAATTGTTCAAGTATTTAAATACCTTGGTACTGATTATTTGTTTAGTAAAAATTATTTGTACTTATTTGAAATTGATTACACAAAACTTTGAATATCGACTATTTCATAAGCAACTAGCTCCTGCGGCTTCTCTCCCATGGTGAAAAACAAGTAGCCTATACCTATGTTAAACCAGGGCATCAACTATCTACATAGTTAACCTCAACCAAATCATTCCAGTATCTACAATTACCAGATTTCAACCAAATCAGTAGAAAATCCGTTTTGCGTGAAAGAATAACAAACAAAGGTACAATATACATTCTCAAAAACCTTCAGATTTATAATATTAGTAGGGAAAAATTTTGGCATAGCGTAAAAACAATTTGTATGAAAATTCTATTATTTCACCACACGGGGACGGAAATATTCAACTAACCATCTCACTTATTAACCGACTTCTAAAAAGGAGGAAGGTTATCAATTCGACCTTATATAGGTCCTCCTATGCTTATGCTAGATCCTATGTTTTTTTATGTTTATTCTTAATATGCTGTCAATAATAAAAACATTCAATATTTTGTCGCTGTTCCTTCCAGTAGAGATCTATATCAATGTAACTAAGCTTCTGTAGTAAAAGCATTGTATTTGCACAGCGCCAACGGTTAGACTCGAACATTTGCACCAGCGAGCCACCGCGCCACCGCGCACCGCTCCAATACACATTTCTAAGTATATTTTAAACAACTGCTTATTTTTATATTATTATGTTCAGTATGCCGTTTGGAAAATGAGGTTTTCAAAGAAAATTTGTATTGTTACACAATGTTTCTTTGCTAAGTCATCGTTTTGTGTTGAGGGAAAAATCGTCAAATGTCTTCTCTCGCGAGTGTAACGCTTTTGGTTGCAGAGGGTAGAAAAAAAAATAAAAAAAAATGAAAATAAAATAGTTATAAATTTAATTGATGTGGGTAGGAAGTTAGATTTCGGTGAGCCGGGCGTGAGTTTGAATATCGAGCGCGTACGAATCTTAGCTCGCCGGTAGAAACAGCACTATGTTGAGTAGGTAGGTCGCTCGTAGCTCCGCAGTAGCACAGCCGTCGATGCAGCAGGGTGTCGATGCGGCAGGGTGCGCCGCTGACTTCTTTGTTGGCCGGTAGATTGGTCCCTCATAGGCAAGTAGATGGAAGAACCTTAGAATAACAAATTACGCGAATACAGGAACAGCGGACTGTCATAACGACTTGTTAGAACCTTAAAAAAATCTGACAACAAGTCTAAAGATTGGTCTACAAGATTGATCAACACACATACTTTGCTATCCCATACATAAGACTAAATTGAGAAAAGGCATAGCAAAAGGAGACCTTTAAAATGCTTTTTTTTGTGAGGGGAAAATCATTAAATGACTTCTTCCGTCCAGGGCCGGGCTCAGACTCTTACTGACTAAAAACCCTCCTGTTTCTTCTCCTGCTCTGGGCCGAAGTCGCGGTGCCTCATTGCGCTTACCCCGCGACCCCGGGACTTTAAAACGCTAAGACACAATTTTAATACAGTTACCGATACGAAATTATGATCTGATAAGTCCCATACTCGAAAACCCAAAGGCTTTACTTAGGGCACGCATGATTATTCCTAAATAAATTAAAAAAGCGTCCAGGTAAAATTAAAAGCGTTATACTAAACCAGACACATGTTACCACCTACACACACTTGTGTATGACATTTCTATAAAAATAAAAACGCAATACATACATTCCCCATAGATAAGTGGTCAGGTGTCGTCTCCCACAGTGCTGAGTTATGCATGGTGTTTACCGAGCCGCCCACTTCCCGCTCATCGGTTACCGTGAATCTGATTGTCCTAGAATTACTGACACAGGGCTGAACTTAAGGTCCATCTATATATGTATACATATAAAAATAATGCCACTTTTCCTTTTAATGTTTTACTCAACTCTGCCATTACCGTTTTGGCTAATTTTGGTCTTTTTTATGTAATAAGTCGGCAAACGAGCAGACAGCGCCGCCAATGGACACCCGCAACGAAGGAGTGACGAGTGCGTTGCCGACCTTTTAGGGATTAGGGATTTGGAGATTTAGGGATTGAGGAGGGATTAGGGGAGGGGAAGGATTGGGCCTCCGGTAACCTCACTCACACGGCGAAACACAACGCCGTGGCTATTTCACGCCGGTTTTCTGTGAGGCCGTGGTATCACTCCGGTCGAGCCGACCCATTTGTGCCGAAGCATGGCTCTCCCACACTTAAATTATTTGTGAAAGTCTAGAGAAGGTTTGTGCGTAGAGAATATTAAAAAACAAAACGACATCCACGCGAACGGAGCCGCGTGCGACCGCTATTATGTTTATAAAAGATAAACGGATATTTTCTATCGCATTACTCTCATGACCCGATGAAATAGCAAACCGACTCTAATGGATGTTTAGACGTAGAACTGAACTAAACTATTTTACGGTACCAAGTCCAAAGGTTAAACTAAGGACGCAGAATACTACTACATACTGAAACGTGGAATTCTCCTGAAGAGATGAAGGTCGACCAACAGATTCTCACTGACTACCAATTTTTACATCCGCAACAAAAAACGTGGAACACCTCCCAATTTCGCATGTCATCCTTGCGCAGTGTCTATGCTAAATAATCTTCTTCGTATCATTCCAATTTTAGTTTTTATACTGCCGAAGTAAGTACTTACAGGGCGGTCGTACAGGTCCAAATCAAGAGCAATCTATAATAACATTATAAAGAGGTTTGGAACCACTGGTCGTATTGCCAAAATTCTTTCACTGATAGATAGCTACCATTGTTATAGAGTGCTATAGGCTATAAAACATCACGCTACGATTAAATAGAGCCGAGCAGCGGGTGAAACCGCGCGAGAGTAGCTAGTAATTAATATACAGATATATTTTTTTAAATAGGTACAGTGGAGTCCGGTCACCGTGTCAATCGGAGTTAGTAATAAATGATGAAGTGCCCGCCCCGCTCCGCCCCCCGCCGCCGCCTGCTACCCCCCG